CCTTCAGCCACAATCAAGACTCTCATTAGAAGCTGTAGGAAGAGTTTAGAGGCTGTTATTTCTGTGAAAGGAGGAGCTACTAAATATTGAGTTAAGGTTTTTTTTATGGTGCCCAAATGTATACACCTGCCTAATTTTAACTTTAGCATCAATATGTTCAAAGATGGGCAAGTACAGCAAAATTAAAATGCACCTCTTGTACATTTTGTTTAAATAAAGTCAAATCATTACCAACCAATGCCTATTTTTAGCCAATTTTATTTTTTATTTCCCTTTTTGGTAACATCTGGTTCTATAGTTAGATTTGTAATTATTAATCAAGGCAGTGAGCTAACTGTAGAGCTGTGCTATGTGGCATATTGTTGTTTTTAATAATGTGTTACATTTATGTATTTTTAGCTTCTTCACAATGTCAGCCAACCTGACACTTGCAAAGGAACACCTCATCCAGGAGGTGGSAACGAGAGCCAGCAGTGCCATGTTAGAGGAAGCGGAGAATRCAGCAGAGCCAGTAAGCAAGGCACCACGGAGTGAAGCCTGCAACAGCCTGGACAGCACCTTTGAGGAAATCTTACAAGAGAGGCCGTCACAGGCCCGGTCCGTGACTGCTGCACATGAGCACTTCAGTAGAAGTGCAGATACAAACCTTCCTCTCAGAGCAAACCAGCCCTAAGAAAAGCAAACCACTGCAGTACTGGAAACAACAACCAGTTCCCCTCTATGGCTGCTGTTTGACCCAGTACCTAAGAGAATAAATTCAACTTTTCTGCACTCCTAGACTCCAAGTACACAACAAAATGTGTTTAACAGCTACAGAAGTGGATTTTGCATGATATGTCCCCTTTAATGCAGTGTACCATATTTAACATCATCTCTGTATTGKATTTAAGACATTTTCCAAGTGACCCAGTCCAATAACACCTTTCTTTTTTCTGTCCCTGATATCAAACAGTGTTCTTGTGTTTTTACTACATCTTGCCAGTAACCTTTTACATTTGTTGTATATACTTACCTCTGCTTATATCACTGTGTTGAATTGTTTATTTGTTTAATCTTATC